TGCCTCTCCAGCCCCGGAAGGGCCCCTTGGGCTGTGAGGGGCCCTCTGTGGAAGCTGGGTCCCTGGCTCTGGGACCTGGAACTGACTCGGCAGGGCCTTCTCCCGCCTGGACAGTGGACACTGGGTGGGACTGCAGCTCCAGGCCTCAGTTTGGCCCGGAGTCCCGTCCACTCGGTGCTGGGGGGAGATGGTCACCCTAGTCCTGCAGAAGGGGGTCCAGGTGGCCCCGTCGGCATGTCTCAGGAACAGCTGCCGTGGCTGGTCTTGTGTGAGTCGGAGGCCAGCCTGCTGGCCCCGGGCCTCTGCAGCCCTTCAGTGCCTCCTGCCCCAGGATGGTCAGCGCCTGCCCAGGCTTCCCCTGACACTGCCCACCGCCTCCAGAGTGGGCACTTCCGTGGAACCACCCAGACGTGCTGCAGGAAGGGGCAGTTCTCTGATGGGTGTCTCCGTCGCCTCTAGAGAGGGAGCCCAGGGCCAGGCCGTGACTGGTCAAGGAGTGGTGCCCTCCTCTTAGCCAGGAGGGCGTGGCTGGTGTCTGCGGGTGGCACAGTGACCTGCTTTCATCTCAGTCCTGACCCCGGAGTGACTTTGTCCGTGAGGTGCTCATGCCAACAGGCGGCAGGTGGCCGCGAGCTCCCAGGAGGACAGGACCCTCAGGAGGCCCCCGCCCAGCCCACCTCCCCACAGGGGCTGGTTGTGGCTGGGGGCACCAGGACCAGCAAGGACCCCTCCCCTGGGGTGCTGAGTCGGCACAAGGGGCCTTAGTGGCTGCCCGGGACCCTGCCTGGCTGGCTGGACCCTCGAGGGCTGGCCTTCCTCCTCCCGCACCCCCCGCAGCCTCAACCTCCCTACGGCTTGGGCCTCAGTGTTCTGGGAGGTTCCCAGGCAGTGTCTGGGCCCCTGGCCGGAGCCTCACTGTGCCAGGTGACGGTGAGGCAGGGTGCAGAGCCTGTGTGTGTGGGGGGACCCTGTCACCTGCTCGTCTTCCCTGGATCTGAAGCTGCTCTAGGAAAGTATTGGTTAAAAAGGAAGAAGCGGAGGGCAGGATGGAGACTTTGCCAGGATCACGTGGGGCACTTGGGACGGGCCGACCCTCATGCCGACGGGGCCTCTGAGGCTGTGGTCCTTGGTCAGGCCTCACCTGTGTGGCTCCTCACATCTCTGGTTCCCAATGCCAGGTGGCATGGAGGTGACTGTGGGGGTCCCGTGTGCTGCTCACCCCGGTGGGGTGAGCACTGGGGTCTGGTCTTGCCTGTGATGCCCGCTGGCCCTGTGGTGGTGATATCTGGACACCAGGCTGTGGCTCCTGGAGTGGCCACCCTCCCCTGGCCCCTCCCCGCCTCCTCTGGCCCTGCGGTGGTGGCTCCCACTGCGGTTCCTCTGGGACCCGGGCCTGCACTCTTGGCCTGCTCTTTCTGGCTTTCTCCCCTGGCCTTCTAGACACTGGGTGCTGGTCCCAGGCCCAGCGGCCTCCAGGTGTGTAGGCCTTCACACTGCCAGCCAGGCTCAGGTCCCCAGTCCCCGGCCAGGTGCAGACCCTGACACTTGGTTTCCGCGGCTGAGGAGAACAGTGTCATTGGGGAGGCTCTGGTGAAAGTGTCCTTCGTCCCTGTCCACTGAGACCTTCAGCCCTTAACGGGGCCACGTGCCCAGAGTTTACGGTGAAAGGCGAGTTGAAAACAGGGTGGTGCTCGGAGGCAGGCGGCCTGGGACTCCTGCAGCTCCCCTCCCCAGGACCAGAGTTTCAGCCCGTCAGAGGTGGGTGCCTCTGCCGCGTGCGTGGAGCAGGTGGCTTGTCCCCTGTGACTTCTGCTGAGGCAGGGGGACACTCTCAGCTGCTGAGAACCCTCTTCCTTGGCCTTCTCAGTATTGTTAGACCACAAAATCAGAGATGAGATCCGCTGTGTTGGCGGTCACACTGCGCCATCACGGCCAGCACCCGGGCCCGGCCTCGCCTGCGCTGTCCCGTCTAGAAATGTCGCCGACAGCTGCGTTTTCCCATTCTTCCTCTCAGTGCAGCTCCCCAGAGACCACCCTCCAGATCCCCGCCTGGAACCCCCGCACGGATGTGGGATGTGCCGTTATGGTTGGCCGCCCTCCCCGTGGCTCTTCCGGAAGCCCCTGGCCTGGGCGGTGCTGGTCTCACGTCTTTCTCCCCTTCTCTCGCTTTCCGCCCCTCATGTTGGTGGAGAAAGGACTATGGAAGGTGAATTGGCGTGACTTGTGACTTGGTTGATGGATTGGCGTAGCATTGGGACTGGAAGTCACTTCTGCTCAGAGCCCGCGTGGGGCGGCTTTCCGCGGGGCACCGCTGGGTCGGGGTCGGCTGTCCTCTGCCACTCGCTGCTCAGCCCAGCACCCGCCGCCGGCTTTCCTGGCCTCGGGCGGCCCACAACCTCGTGCTGCCTGTCTTGCTGGGGCTCTCTCCCCTGCTCGTGCCGGTGTCTGTGGACCCCTGAGTCCTAGTTGGTGTCTCTGGTCCTTTTGTGCCTTTGCTCTCTGAGACCCCTACGCGGGCCTCCTGGATGGTTCTCAAACTTCCTTGGCATCTTCCACCCCTTCCTTTCGTTTTGGTTTCTGAAAGATCCAGAACTCCTCCTGCAGCTTGCTCACCAGGGCTGAACTCCGGCCACCCTCTCGTGGGTCCTGGGGCTTCTCTCTCCGACCTGCTCTCTGCATCTTCTCGTTTTGGGGGTGCAGCTTCTTTCTCTCGAGGGTTCCGGTCCTGGTTCCTTGCTGTCTCCCCCCAGGGCTTTTCCTGATTGTACCCACCTTCCCGTCCAGCTTTGCCTGTGGCCTCTCCCCGTGGAGGGTTCCTCCAGATGTCCAGTGACCTTGGCACCAGAGGCTCCGGGCGTGGCCTTTGCCACTGGCCTGCCTTGGTTCCTTCAGGGGAGCCCTGCCGTCCCCGGGCAAGGCCATTCCTACTGCCAGCGTCCTCCCTTGGGCAGGTCTCTGTCCCCGTTAGCGCTGTCCGGAGTCCAGAACTCCCCGCCTGACCCAGCCTTGGGATACAAATGACCAGCATGGGTGGGCCCCCGTCCAGCCCCGCCTCCAGCTGGGACAAGTCCCACCGTGCTGGGCCACCCTTGCCCTCTTCCTGCCCCACACCCCTCTTCTCCTGCAGGTACCCAGCTCCAGATAAGTCCCACTCACGAGGATGCCCATCCTGGGCCCTTTGTGTGGACAAGCTGACCTCTGACCCCCATCCCCAGCCACTTGGCAGCAGCTGGGGTGCAGGGTAGGTGCCACCGCCTCTTGGTGCAAAGGGCTCTCGTGGCCTTTGTCCGAGGCTCTGGCCAGGTCGAGGCTTTGTGCACACCTGTCCTCGCCCAGGTCTGGGCCACCTCTCATGTGGAGAGTGAGGAACCCGCAGCGTGGCCCTGCCCTCAGGGAGATCAGGGCCTGGTTGAGTGGGAGGATGCACTTGGAACACCCAGGGGCCTGCTGCTGTCCCCAGCCCGTCTGCAGCCTGTACGGCGGCCAGCCCATGGACTGTGGGTACTAGGTGAGGGGCACTGTTGGCCTGTGTTGTGTAGCAGGGGCAGGAGCTGCTCTGGCCGGGTGGGTTGGATGGGGGGTGGGCAGCTTGGGTGAGAGGAGTCTGCAGACAAGGCTCAGGGACAGACAAGCCGGAGAGGTCAGCCGCGTTCTGATGTGGGGTGTGCTGAAGGTAGCGAGGGTCCTGGGCCACAGTGTCAGGCTCCGTCTCCCCAAACCTAGAGGTTTTACTCTCTGGGCGGGGGTTTGTATGGAGGAGGTGGCTCTGGTGGCAGGCGGCAGGGAGTGGCGGGGAGTGTGGCCACCGCAGGTGCCGTGCCCTGCTCAGACGTGGGACCCAGTGGGACCCTGCTGCGAGGATGACTGAGGACCAGCACGGCCGGGCTGCGTGTGGCCAGGCAGTACTCCGGTGACCTGTGGTGCAGAGCGCTGGCTCCTGTTGTGTAGATAGGGACACTGCAGGTCCGCGAGGCCTGAAACTGGCCTGCAGTCACAGAGCCAGGCCTGCCGGGCCTTCTTACTGTGCGCTGGGCAGCATGGAGTTCGCCATCTTGACCTCTTCTCCCAGGCGGCCTTGGACTCCTGGCCCCCGCGGGCTGGCAGCGCTGCTCGCGGCCCCAGGTCTCCAGCCTGTGTGGGCGGGCAGCCTCGGGGCACTAGGTCAGTCGCCGTGTGGCACATCGTCCCAGCGATTTCCATCGCCCCAGGAGAAACTTCATACCCACCGGCAGAAGCCCCTCCCACCCAGCCTGGGCAGCCCCTCTCGACTTCCTCTGTGGACCACTTGCCTCCAGGACCGTCCCTGGGCCCACTGGCCCTGGCCTTCTGTGTCTGGCTCTTCCTGTTGCATGACACCGAAGGCTCCCATGGCACAGGCTATGGGCTGCTTCCCTCCTCATAGCCGCGGGTCCCTGGCAGGGGCAAGTGGCACTCCCTTATCCTCGCCTCTGGATGTGCGGGGGCCTCCACCCCTTGGCTCCGGGGACAGTGCTACTGAGAGTGGGGATACGGATGCCTCAGCCCTGGCCTCTTCGCGGTGGTGGGGTGTGCTGGCTGTCGTGCCTGAGGTCACCTGAGGACACACATTGCCTTCTGCCTGTCCCCACTGAGACATCATCTCCTGGGGGCCTCCAGCAGAGTCCCTGCAGCTGCCCTGGGCAGGGTGCTGTGGCCACCCCAGGCTGTGGGCCTCCTCCAGGGCCTCCCTGTGCGCTGCAGGCTGAGGCTCACTCTGGGTCCTGTGCCTGGTTGCGCCACAGAGTGATGCCTCTTTCCCGCCCGAGTCCCTAAGGGAGTGGACCCCTCCTGTGGGGAGCAGAGGCAGGTGTCTCTGACAGTGACCATTGGGGGGGTAGGTGGTGAGCGCTCTGTGTTCCGTGGGCCTCCACGTGAGCCAAGGTGGGAATGCAGGCAGAGCCGTCCCGTGGAGGGACTGCTGGCCTGTCCCCGTAACCGGGGTGCTCGCTGCCCTGGGTACTGACCCCTCTCTGTCTCCCCAGGGACGTACCAGGGCCAGTGGGTCGGCGGCATGCGCCAAGGCTATGGTGTGCGGCAGAGCGTCCCCTATGGCATGGCGGCAGTGATCCGCTCGCCCCTGAGGACGTCCATCAACTCCCTGCGCAGCGAGCACACCAACGGCACCGCGCTGCACCCGGACGCCTCCCCAGCGGTGGCCGGCAGCCCGGCCGTGTCCCGGGGCGGCTTCGTGCTGGTGGCCCACAGCGACTCCGAGACCCTCAAGAGCAAGAAGAAGGGGCTGTTCCGGCGCTCACTGCTCAGTGGGCTGAAGCTGCGCAAGTCGGAGTCCAAGAGCAGCCTGGCCAGCCAGCGCAGCAAGCAGAGCTCCTTCCGCAGCGAGGCGGGCATGAGCACGGTCAGCTCCACGGCCAGCGACGTCCACTCCACCATCAGCCTGGGCGAGGCCGAGGCCGAGCTGGCGGTCATCGAGGACGACATCGACGCCACCACCACGGAGACCTACGTGGGCGAGTGGAAGAACGACAAGCGTGCGGGCTTCGGCGTGAGCCAGCGCTCAGACGGGCTCAGGTACGAGGGCGAGTGGGCCAGCAACCGGCGGCACGGCTACGGCTGCATGACCTTCCCCGACGGCACCAAGGAGGAGGGCAAGTACAAGCAGAACATCCTCGTGAGCGGCAAGCGCAAGAACCTCATCCCGCTGCGCGCCAGCAAGACCCGCGAGAAGGTGGACCGGGCTGTGGAGGCGGCCGAGCGGGCGGCCACCATCGCCAAGCAGAAGGCCGAGATCGCAGCGTCCAGGTAGGTGGCCCTCGTGCCTGGCTCCTGTCCTCATGCCACGTGGGACCTCAGAGGTCCTAGGGGCCTGTGGGCAGGGTGGGGCAGGGACGCAGGCGGCGGGCAGGGCCTGGGCCCCCAGCCTCCCCGGGCTCTCGTCTGTCCGTGCATCTAAATGTGTTCACTGTGGACTGTCGGGGGACGGCGGCTGCCTGAGCGGGGCTGTGGGGTGCCTGTTGCTATGCGGCTGCCCAGACTGGTCCCCGAGATTCTCCATAGGCTCTGCAACGGCCCCGTGGACAGAGCAGCCAGGAGGAGCTCGGGCGAGACTTGGTGCTTTGGGCCAGTGGCTTCCTGGCCCTGGCTGTGGGACGGTGAATTCTGGGCTGAGCGGGGCTGCAGGGCCCCGAGGAACAGGTCCAGAGGTGGCCGTGGGTGGGTGCCCTCTGGACTAAGGGCTTCTCTAGGCGTGGTCAGAGAGCAGGAGCCTAGGGCCAGGGAGGACGCGGGCCTGCTCCTGGGCGCTACGGGGCCAGTGTGAGGACCTGGCTGATCCCAGCTGGTCTGTGGGAGCCCGTGGGAGCTCAGGCACTGCAGGTGGTGCACCGGGCCCGGCGGGTCCTGGGTGGTGTCGTCTGGGCCTCAGAAGGCGCCAGAGACAGTGCGCTTGCTTCCCAGGGCCCCTGCTTTCCTGGGACAGTGTCCAGCCCTTGGGAGAGGGAGAGCCTGGGGCTGGAGAGGACCTGCCTTCTCTGATCTGCGTGTGGACAGACGGAGGGGAGAGACAGGGAGAGACTGGCGTGAGCTTTGATGAGCCCTCTCCACCCCAGCTCCTGCCCAGCCTGCTGTACCTCTGAGGCTGGACGTGTGCACCCTCAGTCCCGCTGGCCGCCCTGACCCCAGGCCCATCTTCTGCGTTGGTAGGATCACAGAGAGGGTTCGGCCCCCCCATGGTGCAGCAGGTGCCGTGCAGGTGGATGGGCCTGGTTCCAGAAGTGCCGCTGGCGGCTCTGCAGCCTGGCCCTGGGTGCGGGGCCTGGCTGACTCCAGTGCCTGCTTTGCCCGTGCACACGTGAGCACCAGTGTGCAGCTTGTCACCCGTCACTCCCCTCCAGGGTGGTCTCCCAGGCACTGCAAGTTGAAGGGTCTGGCAGGGAGAGTGTGGCTGAGGGAAGGGAGGCATCCGGCCTTCGCTGGCTGCTGGAACCTGCTTCTCAGCCTCTGGTCTCGGTCCCAGTGGACCACGTCCAGTATCTCCATGGCTGCTGAGCAGCCAGGGCAAGTGGCTCACCCTCTCTGAGCTTGGACATTGTCTGGTGTGTGGCTGGCCCTGTTGTCATTGCTGATGTCATCTCCAGCCCTACTCTGGAGGCCCAGCAGGGGCAAGCGAGTCTGAGCTCCTGGGTTGTGACCCAGTGCTGCGGCGATGACCTCGGTCACTCAGAGGAGGAAGCGCCATCCTGAACTGTGGACCCAGAGCTGAGTTTTCCCAATGGGCTTAGGCTTGGGGGAAGAGGGAAGACCAGAGGCCACTGTCCAGAGAGAAGCCGCAGGAGAATGGAGGGGCCTTGGCCCGGGCATGAGGGCCACCCAGCTGCCCTGCAGCAGCTGTGTAGTGTCTGGCCTGGGCAGACGCGGTCACTGTCACTGCCGGCAATGACTGGAGCTGCTGGCAGGGCTATTGGGCCGAGGGAGGGGAGTGCCCTCCCTGGGTCCTCTGCAGACACTCCAGGACCTCCCTGGGGCTCAGTGGACATGGCCACAACGAGGGCAGGAGAATCCCACTGTCCTGGAGACCAGGAGGGACACGTGGAACTTGGATTCTGAGATTGGTGTCATCACTGCCGTCCCACAGGGGGATACTGAGGCCTATACCGGCCCATAGCCAGCTAGGGCCCAGGCAGTGGCCGTCGCAAGGTGGGACGACAGGGCAGGGTCACAGGGAGGGAAGGGAGCCAGTGGCCACACGTAGCCATGTCATCAGTCCTGTCCAGGAGGCTGGGGGCCATTTGCTCCGTGGGCCCCCAGACTTTATAGCAAAGGGTGTGAGGTGGAACCTTCCGGCAAAGTCAGTGGGGAGACCCAGTCCTCGTGGGGTCACCCATGGTTGATGAGTGGGGCCCTCAGATGGATCTGCTGCAGGTCACCTGCTCTGCAGAGGGTGGATGAGGGGTGATCCCCTGGATGCTCATGGAGGGGACATGTGGGGTGGTGACTGCGTGCCATTGGGTACCACTCAGCAGGGCAAGTGCTTGTCATGACACAGTGTGACGCACACACAGCCTGGGGCAGGGACCTCGAGAGACCCTGCAGGAGGCTGGGTATGGTGGTGCGGGCCAGAGATCCTGTAGCTGTGGAGGCTGAGGCAGGAGGATTGCAAGTTTGAGACCAGCCTTAGCAATTTAGCCAGGCCCTGTCTTAAAAAACAAAAAAGACCTCGTAGGACCCAGCTTTGCCCAACACACTCTCTGGGGTCCCTGTGGCAGGTGGGGAGAAGGACAGGGCAGGCAGGGAGGCGTGGACGTGCCCAGTGCCTCTGCTTCAGGGCGTGCCTCCTCTCTGGCACTAACCCTGCAGCCTGAGTCAGCTGTCCCCTGGGAGTGACCCTGCTTGCTCAGGGTGAGGGCCGAGGAGGTCAGGCAGGGGAGCAGCTTCCCCAGACCTCTCCTCCCATAGGAGCAGACTGGAGTGGGCAGGTGCCTGGGGGCAGGGGTGGGCTGCAGAGGTCAGGAGAGTGCAGCTCCATGACGGTCCCTCCATGAGTTGTGGCCAGCTGGTGTCCCTGTGTCCCTGACCAGACGCTGTGTGGTGTGTGCATTTGGATCAGAGGCGGGAGGGTGACTTCCCCGTGCCCTACGCTGCCCGGGCTCTCTGGTGACTGGGCTGGAGGAGATAAGATGCTGGAAGATGTGGAACGGGAGGGTGGCATCCTTGTTAGTCCCCATTAAAGTGACGCACTCACATTTCCTTGTGAAAGTAGGACTGTGACGGGTTTGTGTGAATAGCCACTCGAGCTGTCCGCCTCCTTGGAAGTAGCTCGTTTTCAGACCTTTGTCCACGTGTCTGCAGGACAACAGCCCTGTCCTGCTGTGATCTCCCTTTCCTCCCTCAGCTGTGGTCTGAGGATATTGTATGGAAACCCCAGAAATCAGTGACTTACAGTTGTGAACTGGTACCGTTCCGCGGGGCGCGAGTCGCTCTGGCACCTCCCACTCCATCCCACCAGAGGAGACTTGGCCTCGTCCAGGGTGTCCACACGGAGTACCCCACCTGCCCGTCGCTCACCCAGCAGCCACCAGGTCGGCAGAGAGACCGCTGTGGCGTCGGCGTGTCCAGCCGCCTGGCCTTCCTGGGGAGAGCTCTGTTTTACTGCCGTGGACTGGCCTCCGACGGTGGCCGCTTTTCCCTGGAGCTTTGCGTGGACGCCTAGGGAGGCGCAGTGTCCGCAGGCTCCGCTCCCGTGGCTCGGGCCTCCTGCGTTTGCCCCACTAGTGTCCTGTCCTGCCAGCGCTCCCCTCTCTTGATGGGGAACGTCTGCGCTCACTGTGCCCAGGCTATTTTGGGGCTCACTTTGCCCTCTGACCTCAGACCCAGGAGAACCGCCTGCTTTACGCCTCAGCGCGAGGCCTTCGTCAGGGCACTCGTTGGGCCTGGCGGGTCTGCGAAGGCCACTTCGTCTGGTCCCTGGTGTCATGCCCTGCAGCGGTGCTGCCCAGCCTGGGGTGGTGCAGGCCGGGCCGGGATCCCTGAATCCACGGAGGGTGCCACAGGCCAGCAGAGCCCTGCCGGTGGGCGGCTGTGGCCTGGCACCGTCAGAGACCGAAGCAGAGAGACGGGCACGTTAGAATCCCGGGCAACGAGGAGGGTGGGTGAGGGGCTGGCGGGCTCCTCTCAGGGACCTGGCTGCCTCCGGGCTGACCCGCCCCAGCCACCCAGGAAATCTAGACCTCGGGCCTGAGTCTGGGGGCTCCTGAGGGCTGGAGCCAGTGCCCACCCACACCTTAGCATCCCTGGTCCTCGCCCTGTGGGCCAGGAGGACCAGCTGTCGGGTGTGGTTAGCTCAGTCACCGTCCCTGTCCCCTCCTGTGAGCCCATGTGCTTCAGATGGCAGCTCAGGGCCACTGCTCCCCTCACAGAGGCCTCTGCCTGGCTCAGAAAGGCACCGCGGGAGACGCGGAGACGGAGCCTGTCCTGAGGCACCACGTCCAGGGAGCCCTGGGCCTGGGGGTGGAGCCTAGGGCAGTGCAGGACCCACGGCCTGGACTCTCGCTTCCCGAGAGAAGCCATCACCATTTAAAAGGCCCCAGGGCTTGGACTGATCTGGTGACTGTGGGACCTTGTTCCCTCTATTCTGACCCCAAGCCCACAGGTTGCAGCAGGAGATGGCCGGAGCTGCTGTGGGTCAGCGCCAGGCCTGGGCCGCCCCTCTGCCCTGCGGCCTGGGCTGACAGCAGCTGCCTCGCTGTCTCCTGAGTTAGGCAGCACGACTCCTGGCTTGGGGCCATGCACCCTTGTCACTGTCATCTCCATCAACGTCACTGGGTCAAGCTGACCCCGTGGCCCTGGGCACCAGTCCCGCAGGGCGCTTGGCCCTCGTCGCCAGGGTCCTGCTCTGCTTGCTGTGTACTGGAGCCCCACTTCCTGCCTGGGGAAGCTGGGTCTCCAGCTGTTGTCCCTGTGGGTCAGTTCTAACCCGAGTTAGATGGCGTCTCGCGGCTCCCCCCCAGCGCCCCAGGTGGAGCCTGCCAGAACACCCACCCCGTCCCCTGTCCGGTAGGAGACCCAGTGCAGGGGCCCTCGCTGTCCTCCCTGGTGGTGGACGTGCCAGAGCAGCCTCTGTTTCCCACAGTGAGGCGGGGTGCACTGGCCGCGGTGCAGCTCACCCCCCTTGGGGGTCTGAGGGCTGAACTTCATGTGACGTCCTGTCCAGCCTGGGGTCTAGCCAGCGCTGGGGGAGGCTGCTTTCTCTTCCTGGCTGTCTGCTTCCTGTGTCCAGTCTGCCCTTGGCCACCTGCCTGTGGCTC